CCTGCTCCCCCTCGTAGCGGAGCTCGGGAACATCGGGTCGCTGAGCTCCCTCAACGAGGCGAATGTGGTCGAACGCGCCCAGTGGCTCGGCAAGGGCGAATATCAGCGCCCGTCAAAGCACTCGGGCTGGCTCTTTGCCCCCGAATCCACACAAGTGACGAACCACATTGGGGGAGGAGGTCGTGATGAGCGAAGCGACAGCGCTTGAGCTGGGCCCAGGGAGTCAGAGGTCCAGTTCGCGCTCCCTGCCATTACTGCACCCGCTTCCAGCGGAAGTGGTGAATTCAAAGTGTCTTTCGAGTACTGCGAGGAGTACGCCGAAGAGAACAGTGCAGACGACCCCCTGCGGTCATGGGACAGACAACCTCGTCAAAAGGGAACCCATTTGAGACTATCGCGACGGTCCTCGGGCTCTCTGCGAGCGAAGTGGCGTTGATGGAGGCCGACCCCGCCGTCTACGCCGCCAACCAAGCTAGATCTTTACAAGCTTCGAGGGGACTGCTCGGGCTCGACACGGACGACTCCGCCAGCGAGACCGACCAGGAGGACCTCGAGGAGCAGGACGCCCTGTTTGACACCGTCCCCGACGCCGTCACCCACGCCGAGCGCCACAACGCGCCGCTGCGGGTGGCGTGGGCGGCCCTGGAGCTCTGAGAGCGAGCGCGACCAGGCCAATCCAGAACAGACTTGGCGGACTTGGACAGATAGCGCAGCGAGGGAATTCCTCGGGCTCGACTCTGCCAGCGAGACCGATCAGGAAGACCTCGGGGAGCAGGACGCCCTATTCGACGCCACCCCCGACGCCGAGCGCCACAACGTGCCGCTGCGGATGGTGTGGGCGGACTCGGAGGGTTCCGAGAGCGATTGCGATGAGGAGCGGGAGCGGATGCACGACCGCGATTGGGCCAAGGTGACCACCACGAGCCACCTCCCCGCGGCCAGAGCAGCCCGCCCCCGCCGAGGCGTGGCTAACCACAGAGCAGCGCGGCCAGCAGCAGCCGGCGCAGCAAACGACCGAGCAGCGCGGCCAGCCGGGCCGTCCTCCAAAGCGAGGCGCCTGGCCATCCGTCCCATGGCGGAATTCAAAATCCCCGCAGTTGATTCTTCGTCTCGCGCCGCCCCCATCCTCGCAGGGCTTTCTGCAAGCGTTCCCGCCTCCGGGCACGTGGGGGCATATTTCCAAGCAGTCTTTCCGAAGCACATCCTCAGCGGCTTCGACCCTGAGTGGATCTTCGCCTGGGGGGTTCAATCCTTGTTCGGTTGCTCCCTTCACCTAGTCCCTTGCTGTGAGAGCGCAGCAGAGGCGTAGCACGGATTGAACATGAACAGACGGGCGGGAGCAATTGAAAACCATCGCGTCAGGCTCGCGCGGGGTATACAAAGCGAGCAGGTGCAATCACCGAACATCTCACGCTGAGCTTGCGCGAGTGTCACAGAGCGGGTGCCGCCGCTACCTCGCTGCTGGAGCGCCCCCGAGCCGTGGTCATCCGAGTAGCTGCGCCCCTGCTTGGCGCACACGCAATCAATCGACCATGTGGCCAATCAGCGTACGAGTGCCTGCGCTGCGCAGATGGCGTGCCTTTTCAGCCTTTTCAGAAGGGATCCTTCTTTCGCTGGTGACAGCCTCTGTGGCGGCTGTGACCTCGCCTGCTCTTCCTCCCCCCCGTTCATGCTCCGCCTCCTTCTTTCTGTTACTGCTATCTTCTTCATTTTTCATGTAAGCTAGCGCCGCGGAACTTCGAGCGGAAACGGGGGCGCCCGCGGAAAACTTGGACCGAATCAGTTTTTGTCAACGCTGTTTGGGCCGTGGGGAGTGAGGCCCTGCCGCAGCTTTGGCAATATAGCGTAATTTCTGCCACAGCCTGGCGCGCAGCCGTGAAGCGTTATTGCGACGCCCTGCGAGGCCACGGCATTTGGGCTCATGTGTTTTGCACTCAGTGTTCTCTCTCGCTCTCTCTCTCTCATCATTTTCCTTCTCCTCCCCCTCCTCCTTCCTTTCCCGCCTCCCTCATCATTCGGGTCGCGTCCATCATCCCGCCTGCTCTTCTCTCGCAAATTATTCCTCGTCCCAGTTCCCACCCCTCTCATTCATATATGTTCCCTCTTTGCTCCTCACTCTTCCACGCTCCCCCATGGACTAACGATCAAAGCACAAACAATACACATCCATCGTCCCTCCATTATCCTCCTTTTTCGTCCCTTCTCCCTTGTCGCTCCTCTTCACTTCTTCCTCGTCCCTCCTCCCCCTTTTCTTCTAGCTCCCTTTCTGTACTCTCCCCTCTTCTTACTTTTCCTCCCCCTTTGTCCCATTATGCTCGATTGACTTCTTATGCGATGCTGGCTTCGTCTTCTGTCCTTTCTACTTTCTGCGTCGCCGGTTTCTTTCGAGTACTACTATTCGACGGTGTATGGAAGCGCACGACCACGTGCCTACCATGAGGGAATAGCTCCCCTGCTGTATGCACTATGCAAAGGTGAGCTCGAGGATGGACATCAGTAGCAGGAACGGGAGGAGCAGGAGGAGGAGGAGGAGGGAGATAATGTGAAGACGGAGAAATGAGTCAGAACTTATGCGCACGGGGTGGGGACAATCATGGTCTAGCCAATTGCCCTAGCCAGTTCAACCATCACAACCAACCCAACCAGCCCAACCAGCCAAGGCGCCAACCAGCTGACCCGCCAACCAGGCAGCCCGCCAAGCCGTGCACCCCAGCCACTTGCCCCCTGCGTCACCGCCAAGGGGGGAGGGGGGGAAGAGCTCACTACGGACGAAAAGGCTGGGAACCACCTTCTGGAGACCAGGCTGCCAGCCAGGCGGAGTGGGGCGGAGTGGCAAGGGGATGTGGGGGGCAACTCGCACCGAGTCGTGACGGGGCTGGCCTCCAGGGCGGGCGCCCCAAAGGCGGTCGGAGGCCCCAAGTGCGATATGTCTGTCAGTTTCCGCACTTCTCCGCGTCTGCGCCCGACGGAAAAGCTCCCCTCCTCGAAATCGGCATTACCTTTGAGGCCACCAATGTCCTCGCTTGGGGTAGCCAGGAGGCCCCTCGAGCCCCCTACGGCTGCGCTCTCGGCGGACATCCTCATCCACGAAATTGTCGTCACGTCCTGGGCCCCCAGTCTCCACGCCTGGCACGGCGAGATGGCCCCCAAGATAAGATATGATAAACAGAGGCCAGGAAAAGAGGCGACACGAGGGGCAAGGAACAGGGAGCAGGAGGAGGAGGAGGACGAGAGCGACGAGGCGTATCATGCCGAATACGAGAATGGATCAGGAAAACCAGGATCTATTAGGAAACAGGGAGCCAGAGCAGGAACAGCAGCATCAGCAACAGCACCAGTAACAACAAGGAGGAGAGCCATCATGAGGACGAACAATGATTGGGGGCGAGGGACCGTTCGAACGAACAACATAATGATGGAAGAGGAGTGGGCTTGGGCGAGACCACAGCAACAGACGTAGCATAAGGGAGCAGGCAGCAGAAGAGGGAGAAGGAGGACGACGATGCGGAAGATACCGAAGCGCAATGGGTACAGAGAACCATGTGCACAACGACAACCAGGAAAGAGAAGGGACGAGAGAGTCAGGACGCATGGTGGGTAGGAAGAGGTGAACTGAGGTGGCTTGCGAATCAGAGAACATCACGGCTGGCTCAAGCGCGCCTGAAGCTGTTTCAACAGGAGCGTGAAGGACAAGAAGTTTCAGCCGATGGCGCTTCTCATCGTTGCCGCTTCGCTGCTGGCACTCGCACACGCCTTGGGCCCGCAAGCGTCTTGCACCGTAGGGCAGCACTGCGCCGCAGGAGAGCAGGATGACACCGGCATGCTCCAGAAGAGCTCGCGGATGATGCAGGTGAATCGGCATGAGCAAATGAGCGTGAAGACGACGCCCACGAATGATGCCGAGTGCGAGGCCGTGCCGGGCATCAATACGGACGAGCCCATCGTGTACGACTCCAGCTGCCCCGGCCTGTGCTGCTTCGAGGACCAGCCGTGCAGGTACAACACCACGGGCTGCTACTCCACAGATTTGGCGCAGCAGAAGGTGAGGACGACGCCCACGAACGATGCCGAGTGCGAGGCCGTGCCGGGCATCAATATGGACGAGCCCATCGTGTACGACTCCAGCTGCCCCGGCCTGTGCTGCTTCGAGGACCAGCCGTGCAGGTACAACACCACGGGCTGCTACTCCGCAGCCTTGGCGCAGCAGAAGGTGAGGACGACGCACGAAAGATGCCGGTGTGAGGCAGTGCGGGCATCACGACCATCGTGTACCACGAGGCACCGCCGTGCAGGTGGGCTGCTACTCAGTATGAGGACGGACGCCCACGACGATGCCGAGTGCGAGGCCGTGCCGGGCATCAATATGGACGAGCCCATCGTGTACGACTCCAGCTGCCCCGGCCTGTGCTGCTTCGAGGACCAGCCGTGCAGGTACAACACCACGGGCTGCTACTCCGCAGCCTTGGCGCAGCAGAAGGTGAGGACGACGCCCACGAACGACGCCGAGTGCGAGGCCGTGCCGGGCATCAATACGGACGAGCCCATCGTGTACGACTCCAGCTGCCCTGGCCTGTGCTGCTTCGAGGACCAGCCGTGCAGGTACAACACCACGGGCTGCTACTCCGCAGCCTTGGCGCAGCAGAAGGTGAGGACGACGCCCACGAACGACGCCGTGTGCGAATGGACGAGCCCGATCTGGCTATCCTGTGCCCTGCTGGACTCCAGCTGCCCTGGCCTGTGCTGCTTCGAGGACCAGCCGTGCAGGTACAACAACACGGGCTGCTACTCCGCAGCCTTGGCGCAGCAGAAGGTGAGGACGACGCCCACGAACGATGCCGAGTGCGAGGCCGTGCCGGGCATCAATACGGACGAGCCCATCGTGTACGACTCCAGCTGCCCCGGCCTGTGCTGCTTCGAGGACCAGCCGTGCAGGTACAACACCACGGGCTGCTACTCCGCAGCCTTGGCGCAGCAGAAGGTGAGGACGACGCCCACGAACGATGCCGAGTGCGAGGCCGTGCCGGGCATCAATACGGACGAGCCCATCGTGTACGACTCCAGCTGCCCCGGCCTGTGCTGCTTCGAGGACCAGCCGTGCAGGTACAACAACACGGGCTGCTACCGCAGCCTTGGCGCAAGCAGAAGAGTGAGGACCCCAGAACGATGCCGAGTGGCGCCGTGTAGGGCATCAAACGGGGAGCCCAACTCAGCTGCCCCGGCCTGTGCTGCTTCGAGGACCAGCCGTGCAGGTACAACAACACGGGCTGCTACTCCGCCCAGCGGCGCAGCAGAAGGTGAGGCGACGCCACGAACGACGCCGAGTGCAGGGCCGTGCCGGGCATCAACACGGGCCTGCCCATCGTCTACGACTCCAGCTGCCCCGGCCTGTGCTGCTTCGAGGACCAGCCGTGCAGGTACAACACCACGGGCTGCTACTCCGCAGCCTTGGCGCAGCAGAAGGTGAGGACGACGCCCACGAACGACGCCGAGTGCAAGGCCGTGCCGGGCATCAACACGGGCCTGCCCATCGTGTACGACTCCAGCTGCCCCGGCCTGTGCTGCTTCGAGGACCAGCCGTGCAGGTACAACACCACGGGCTGCTACTCCGCAGCCTTGGCGCAGCAGAAGGTGAGGACGACGCCCACGAACGACGCCGAGTGCAAGGCCGTGAGGGCATCAATACGGACGAGCCCATCGTGTACGACTCCAGCTGCCCCGGCCTGTGCTGCTTCGAGGACCAGCCGTGCAGGTACAACACCACGGGCTGCTACTCCGCAGCCTTGGCGCAGCAGAAGGTGAGGACGACGCCCACGAACGATGCCGAGTGCGAGGCCGTGCCGGGCATCAATACGGACGAGCCCATCGTGTACGACTCCAGCTGCCCCGGCCTGTGCTGCTTCGAGGACCAGCCGTGCAGGTACAACACCACGGGCTGCTACTCCGCAGCCTTGGCGCAGCAGAAGGTGAGGACGACGCCCACGAACGATGCCGAGTGCGAGGCCGTTCCGGGCATCAATACGGACCAGCCCATCGTGTACGACTCCAGCTGCCCTGGCCTGTGCTGCTTCGAGGATCAGCCGTGCAGGTACAACACCACGGGCTGCTACTCCGCAGCCTTGGCGCAGCAGAAGGTGAGGACGACGCCCACGAACGATGCCGAGTGCGAGGCCGTGCCGGGCATCAATACGGACGAGCCCATCGTGTACGACTCCAGCTGCCCCGGCTGTGCTGCTTCGAGGACCAGCCGTGCAGGTACAACACCACGGGCTGCTACTCCGCAGCCTTGGCGCAGCAGAAGGTGAGGACGACGCCCACGAACGATGCCGAGTGCGAGGCCGTGCCGGGCATCAACACGGACGAGCCCATCGTGTACGACTCTAGCTGCCCGGGCCTGTGCTGCTTCGAGGACCAGCCGTGCAGGTACAACACCACAGGCTGCTACTGAGGTCAGAGTTTCTCTGTAGCATGGTAGATCAATATTTCTTGCCACACTCTAGCCGATGGCGCAGTACACTTTCGGAGAAGCATTTGGGCCGCCTGCATGACGAGGTCGTGCGCTGCCCCAGCCTTGGCATTGTCGAGTTTCAATGTTGCAGCGTCTCAACGGACTGTTCGTAATTAACATGACAATTTTGTGTGAGCATGCTCGAATGCTTGCTGCGCCCAATGTCCACGGCTCTTCAATATTTGTCACTCTGGTCGGATGTATCTCTTGCGTTCCGATTCCTAGACTTAAATGTCTGGGTGCACTTTGGCGGAGGGGCCGCTTCTTGTTGTGGCCATCTCCGCCCACATGCGGCTAAACACGAAGTGTAGGGCATTCACCTCCAAATAGCAGGGAAAGCCCTCGCTGCAAGCATCGCAGATGGAGGCGGCGGCATCGGAGCAGCTCGCGTCGCTGAAGCCCTGGTGGCGTCCAACATTGACAGCAAAAAAAAAAGAAAATCACGGCCCCACACAAAACGGGATCATTCACCAAATTGGTGCATATCACTATGATCGCGTCAACTAGGTACATGTGCATAAAGCAGGACGAGCAAGAGGGACGAGGGGATGCGGACGAGGAGGGCGAGGATAATGATTATAATAATGGTTGATGAGAGTAATAATGATGACGATGTTGTCGATGCTGCTGCTGCTGATGATGATGATGATGATGATGACGATGACGATGATGTTGATGGGGATGCTGATGCTGATGCTGATGCTGATGATGATGATGATGATGATGATGATGATGATGATGATGATGATGATGATGATGATGATGATGATGGGTGTGGTGGTGGTGATCATGACTAGCATGACAACGCACATGATGATGTTGATGCTGACGATGATGCTGATGGTGACGATGGTGGTGATGGTGATGATGGTGATGATTACTATGATGACTGTCATCATGATGGTGGTGCTTGTGATGATGATCACGGTGGTGATGCTGACAAGGATGTTGGTGGTGACCAAGCCGACGACAATGTTGATGATGATGATGATAATGTTGCTGCTAATGGTGATGACGATGATGATGCCATTGATGTGTGTTATGACGTTGATACTGCTGCTGATGATGGTTGTGGTTAGGATGATGGTGCTGAGGATCCGGATCAGGTTCATAGTGAGGACGATGATGATGACGACGATGTTGTTGATGGTGATTAGGATGATGAAACATGTGGTGATGTTAAGTATGGTGATGATGAGCATGTTGCTGCTGATGATGATGCTGATGCTGATGCTGATGCTGATGCTGATGCTGCTGGTGATGCTGCTAATGATGATATCATGATGATGCTGATGCTGATGCTGATGCTGATGATGATGATGATGATGATAATGATGATGATGATACTGATGATGATGATGCTGATGATGATGGGAGGGAGAAGGAGGATGAGGAGGACGAGGCCGAGGGGGAGCTGAGTGAAGCCAAGATGTACCGACGATGTTGCAATACACCCTCCCGTCCTATGTCCCCGCTTCATTCGCCCCTGCAGGCATTTGTTCCACTTTGCGAATCGCCCCCCCTTGAAAAGAGCGCCATGTGGGCCTGCAATTCAGGCGGGTACTCCGTTTTGAAAGAACCCGCTCCCCATCTTTCGGGCTATGAGGAATGCGACAAAGTCGGGCTTAGAGGCACCGCCGCAGCCGTCCTCACGACGTTATTTGCTCAGATGACTCTGGCGGGCGCGAAAGTGCTGCAACAAGAAAAAGTGTGGGCTCAGAAGCTCAGAGGCATGCTCAGCGACAGTCCCGCTGTGCACAGGAAAAGGTTCTCTCCATCCGTGCGGCTGTTGGGTATTCTTCAAGTTCTGGCCATACTTTCTAACGCAGTTCTTACGCGGGAGTTTCATTTTGAAAAGAAATCGCCATCCAGCCGCCTAATTGTTGCGCAATTTTACATGTGGTGACATGTGTTGAGGACGTTTCAGGCTATAACCCCATTTTGTAAACGAGCTGGCCTCCATCTGTGTAGCTGCTTTGCAACATTACACTTGCGGTATATTGTTCTTCAAGTTTCAGGCGAAAGCCCCATTTTTTGAAAACGAGCCGGCCTCGATTCGTTGGTTGTTCGAATATGTTAAGACGAATGTGCGCGGCGCTGAGGCGAGAGCCGTTTCTTGAAAACGATTGGCTCTCCAACCGTGTAATTGTTGGAAAATTCGAGACGGATGCGCGCGGCGCTCAGGCGAGAACCACGTTTGAAGACGATCGGTCCTCCGCGCGGCGCTCAGGCGAGAAGCGTATTTTTAAGCTGAACCGGACACCGTGCGAATGTCACGTGAATTGTGTTCATTTCCGGGTTGTTTAGCTTTTGTTAGTCATGTTGTGGTAATGTGTGTTTTCCGTTGTGTTGCGGGGTGCTCTTTGAGGTGTTGCGGCGCTTGGTTTGGCCTCGATTCAGTTGGGCCCGTTGATTGCATGGGGGCGTCTCTTGGGGCCGTACGGGTGGCCATTCAGGCGTTCCGTGGTTCCATCTTGGCAGCCATCGATCGATGCTTCGCGCGCGGAGTGAGCGCCCCATCGGAGCCGCGCAAGTTGCCAGAATCAGGTTGCAGGGGGCCCTCCGCCCAGCGGCCCAAGAGTCACGGGCCTATGGCTTGACGGCCCTGGAGCTTTGAGTCCGCTGTTCCCGGGCATTGTCCTGTGCGGCCCTGCAGGCCCACGAGCCGCCTCGCCCCCAGACTGGGGCTCACGAGTCTTGTGATGGGCTTGTCTTCCACCACCACCACCACCACCATGAGTTGGGGGGGAGGGGGTCCTCCTCCTCCTCCTCCACCTCCTCCTCCTCCTCCTCCTCCTCCTCCTCCTCCTCGTCGCTCTCCACCTGCCCAGCTCATGGTGGTGGTGGTGGAAAACGGGCCCATCATCTTGGGCTCTCCCTCGTGGGGCCCAGGAAGTCCCGCTCGCTTCGCTGCAGGGCCCCAGAGTCTGCCTCCGACTCCCGGGAGCCGGGTCCCGTCGGCCCCCGACGGCGCGCCCGAGGAAGTCGCGCGGCCTCGAGCGAGGGTCCACGGCCTCGGCGGCCCTTGACCGACGAGCCGGGGAGTCTGCAGGCCCGTGACTCGGTGGCCCCGGAGACCCGGGCCGCGTGGCACGGGGGCCAGGAGCCATCCGCGCGTGCTGGACAGCACCCCCAGAAGTGCCAGCGAAGCGCCGCCGAAGTGGCAACGAATCGTAGGTGCATGCACTTCCCCATGGGGGAGACGAGGCCAGAGGGAGACGGGTCCTCAGGTTTTTCTCCGTTTTTGGCTTCCCGGGGCCCTCCTTGGACCCCGGGACTGTCAGAAAACGGTTCGGGATGAAGAAGCTCCTGGGGAGAGGCCCCAGGGTCCAGGACACATTTCCCTCAGGACCCGCTCCCCCCTGTGCTAATGATGTTTTTTTCGCATTTAAGCAGAACATTTTGGATTCGGAGGGCGAACTGGGCGGCGAGGACCATCATTCGGAACTGCATTCGGGTCGTCGAGGGGCAACATGTGGAGCGGGTCCGAGACCGCCGAAGGCAGAAGTCGGAAGTGGGATTCGGCCACGCGGGACGCCTTCAGGAGCTTTTGCGGGAGTTCCTCAAGACATGTCCAGGAGCTTCTCAGAAGCCTCCCAGGAACCCGTCAGGAGTCTCTCAGGGACCTCTCAGAAGTTGTTTCTTGGTGTTTCAGGAGTTTCCCGGCGAGCCTTTCAGGGCGGGTCGCGGGAATTCCCCAGGTGCTTTTGCGAAGCCTTTCCAGGAGCCGCTCGTGAGCTTCTCAGGGGGTTCGGATCAGGAGTTCATGAACACCTTATCAGCACCTTTTCAAAACCCTCTCGATAGTTTTTTGGGAGCCTCGCATGTCTCTCTCTGTCTCTGTCTTTATCTCTCTCTCGCCCTGGAGCTTCGCAGGTGCCTCTCCAGAACCTTTCCAGAACCTCTTTCCTTCTGAGGAGTTTCCTCTCAGCACCCTCAGGAATCCGCCGGGACCTCTTGCAAGCCTCTCGTCGTTGTCATCGTCTTCGTCGTCTTCACGTTTGCCGTCGTTGTTGTAATCGTCGTCGTCCGTTGTTTGGCAGCGTGGCCGTTTCGTGCGTCCCCGGCGGTAGGTCTCGCAAGGGCTCGTAAAGCTTAACAGGTTTGAATGTTCAAAGCCCCGGGTCAATTGTTATAGGAAGTCTCAACCGAAGCGCCCAGCTTCGATTAGGGATGAGCTGTCGAGCTGTTTGCAGTGAAGACGGACGGAGGAGGAAGCGGATGGTGGTGGGGAGGGAGGAGCAAAATGAAGCAGGGAGGATGGGACGAGGACGTCGACGATGATTTGCACCTGGATCGTGCGGCCGGGAGGCCTCGAGCGCTTCGAGCAGACCCGCAACTCGCTGGTGGGTGCCGTGGCCGCCGATGCCCGCGACGTCGAGTCGTTGTGCGCCCTTGCCCACCTCGAGGCCCGCCGCCCGCCGCAGTCGCCGCGCGACCGCCACGGCCGGTCGTCGCCGGGGGACTGCGACGGTGTCGTCGCCGCCGTCGTCGTCGTCGTCGTCGCCGTCCGTTTCTTGGCCGCGTGGGCAGTCCTGCTTCTTGGTCAGGGGCCGCTTATCACGCAACCTCCATCATGGTCCTGGCGGCCGCGGGCGCTACGCCGTCGTGGTCGATGCTCTTGCCGAGGCCGGTGCCGACCACCACGGCGCGGCGGGCGCCGTGCGGAGCTCCGCTGCGCGCAAGAGTGACCTTTCGCAGGAGTGACCTCTGGTGCGGACCCACAGGGGCCACCCCAATACTGGTTGGCGCGCATGGGTTTTGGCCCCCACGCGGCCCCCCAAGCCGCGCACCGAA